AACCTCTTGTCACATCTGGTTTGAGCAGTCAGAGTCATAGGTTATAGATAGATAAATAAATAGTAAGATACAGGGACGTGCACGGACATTTTGAGGGGCAGGGGCTCAAGTGGAAAAAAGGGCACTTCTCATATTTATTTGAATTTTTTTTTCTAATCAAAATGTTAAATATATTAGGGGTGTGTGATATTGACAAAAATATATCTCAATATTTTCTGGGATTTTATTGATAACGATAATTAGATGATATTTTGCTGAGTGCGTTATTGTGCTGATATCTTAAGGACTACCGTGGACAGCTGATTCCTAAAAATTTTTTATATTCTTCATATTCTGTGTGGTGGTCAGTTCACAGCAATGATAGAAAATAATATTTTCCAATAAGTTTAAATAGATTTTTACCTTTTAAATGAAATCAGTATTGACAAAATCCATCTTTGCAATGCAGAGAAAACAGAAGCTGCATTAGAAGGGGCATTTAGATGCATTTACACACTGTTTAATGCAGGACATGAATGTATTTAAAGGGATCATATGATGCTATTTACATTTTTCCTTTCTCTTTGGAGTATTACAAGCTCTTGGTGCATAAAGAAGATCTGCAAAGTTGCAAAGACTAAAGTCTCATATATTCTTTATAAAAGTTCAGAGTCAACCACACCTACCTAAAACGGCTCGTTCTAATGAAAAGTAAAACATATAGGGTTACTCAACATAACCATGGTGTCCTGAGAGGAGAAAACAAGACACAAACTCCTTTTCTCCAGAATGTTGAAGCTTTATTTAATCCTGCTATTGCATCGGCAATAGCCATTGGCGTTTGGCTGTTTGAACGGTGGGCTGGGCCATCCACTAATATAGCTCGACGTTGAATGTCATAATATCAGAATCTTTTTACTGAGCAAACTATATGTAAACTCTGAACAGGTTTTTACATGGCGGCCTCTGCAGTGTCTCGTTCCCTCCTCTCAGGGAACCATGGTTATGTTGAGTAACTAGAGACGTTCCCTTTTGAGTCGTTCTATTGACACTGCGGCTGAAAGCCACTTTGGGGAATGAGTAAAATCACGCTGTGTAAAAACTGTGTTATCTGTGAATCTACCCAGAGTTAATATGGGGAGAAACGTCCGACATGCTACAGTAGGTGGATAAGCTGGTGAATAGCAGGTGAGTACTGGACCTAGTGGAGGCACTCAGACAGCTAGTTGGCACAGTGCCAAGGCCGCAACGGCGCCTCCGGTACCTCCCTGCACATAGCCAAGCTGCGCTGGGCTGGTAAAGTACAGAGAGTGATAATAATGTGATAAAGTACAGAGAGTGTCAGTGTATTGGTGCATGCATCAATAAACCGACTCGATGAGCGGGTTATAAATATACTGAGAAATAGTAAAGAAACAAGTGTATAAAACCAGCTCTTTGCGGGTTAAACAGACATTACAAGTCCATTATAGATGTGCAGGACATGCCAAGGTCCTAAGAATAATACTGGGGCAGACAACTTGCAGCTGGGGCCGTCAAGATTAGCGAATAAGTATAAAACGCTGTATCATGCATGCATGGCTGCGAGGAGCGGTGCATCATATCAGCTTTGACCTAGTTGAAGCATGCTAGGGAGGGGCGTGGCAGCAGGCAACTCAACCATCCAGTGGCTGCTCAGCCGTCTTCTACTGCACCGACAGAACATGCGGTGCAAGAGAAGGAATCTCAAGGTTATAAAACCTAGCAAAAGTGTTTTGAGAAGACCCACTCAACTTCCCAAGAGGCATAAGCTAATCGGATAGCTTCCCTTATTCAGTGTGACATTCTGTCTGTTTTTGTCTGTCCACATATGCACTCAATGCCTTAACAGGGTACACCTTGTTCTCACAGGTTGGATTGAAAATGAAACTCTTGTCGTGTCATAACCTGGGCTCTGAATGCCATTGAGAGCACTTGGATGTATAATCAAGTCTAGGCGTAAGCCTCACCATACAATCGTTCAGACCAAATTGCATACAAGCACTGTTGACAGAGAGAGCTTACAAGTCCCCCACCTGTTTCCCAAATAGTGCCCCCCCCCCCCCCCCGGCCAGGACAGGAGGTCCCTTCAATAAGATCATGGCTGGTTGGCCCATTTCAGCGCAGTAGACACACTAAATGGACAATAGTCCTCGGGCAGAATATGGTCATTCTAAGTGCGTGCTTCACCAGCACTCAATTCAGTGGTCTTAATCCAAGCGTACAACCATCCTTTTCCAGACCCAAGGAGTAACGGCTGTACCAGCCACATTCCCATTATTCATCAGGCACTATCTCTGCCACTTGCTTTGTCAGGGGAGAGAGAATTTCTGCCTGTAAAAGTGAAGCGCTCTGCTCTGGCACTTCTGACATGATCACGGCGGTCTGCAAGCAAACTGAAGTGTGTAGTAGGCTTGCCGCAATAGACGGTGCTGACGGTGATCCCGGTGTTAAGCCGCAACACCAGTTACGTCACTTGCCCACCGCGTCACCGATCCCCACTGTCGTTTACATTTTTTATAGTAATAAAAATCATTTAGTTCAGTAAAAGAACAGACACTACAATTAAAAACTGAACGCGGCTGCTCAATTCAGCGTGCCGAACGACAGTCGCATCACAGATCAGATTTAATTTCTCCAGTGAGGAGAGTGAGTCGAGCTGGCTGACAAGAAGAGTGGGGTGAGACAGACAAGACAATCGTGGATGATTTCGTTTCGAAACGAAATGCAAAAGCGCCTATTTGGCAATATTTTGGATTTTGAAAAGCCTGTTGACTTTTGCTGTTTATCTAAGGTGATTTACTCCGTTAATAGCTGACCGCCGCTCTGAGGCGAGGGGCTGCTTGTATCAAGTGAATGATTGGAATTTTCCTGTGCTCCGTACATGCCTGGCCACTTCTCTAAGGCAGGAGCTGCTTATATCATGCGAGTGAGCGACTGGAATTTCCTGAGCTCTGTACATGGCTAACAATTGCTTTGAGGCAAGGGGCTGCATGCTATCGTGTGAATGAGTATGCGATTGGGACTTCTCTGTGTTCTGTACACGATTGGCCACTGCTCGGATGCAAGGGGCTACTGATAACCTGCAAATTAATGACTGTCTGGAACTTTTCCATGCTCTGCACACGGTTGGCCGCTGCTTTGAGGCAAGGGGCTGCTGATATCGTGTGAATAAGTGATTGAGCGACTTAAACTTCTCCCTGGGTTACTTGAATCGTGCAAATAAGGGTCTGTGAACCCCTGTAAACCTCTCATAGACAGCACTGTCAGCGACAAAGCTATTTTCCCGCCAAATTCAGGCCCCGGCTTAGGGGGGGAGGATAACGTGGGAACTGAGCCCGCGCAGCTTGCTACCAAAGTCCTTAAAGGTCCCCTGAAGTGCCTTGAAACATGCAGCGTTATTCTATGTGGTGACGTAATTTCAACTGAAACAGGAAGAGAGGGCGGGACATATCAAGCAGCCACACCCCCTTTTTAAATTAGCCAATAGCATTTTGTTTATATCGGCCGGGTCAGAGCCGTTGAGCTCGGTAAAGCCGCATTTGACAACCACAGTCTAATAGATTACTCCCTAGATTCAATATGAAACTCTTAGTAGAAACAAAATAGTGATCATAATTATGCTGAGACTGTGTAGTTTTAAAAGTGTTAATATATACCGACTCGCACATGATCACCTCCGTGCGATCGCGTCTCTGGACCGGAGCCAAAGTCCGGATCAGACTGTGCGCGCTGCCGCGGTTCGCGTGACAACGTGAAACCAGACCTCATTTGCCCCAATCAAAAGCATATTTACACTATCTGAATTGTTCCCTATCACCTACATTGTACACTGTGCCATTCACTGTACAGGAAATACTAGTGTGAACAAGCGACTGATCTCAGCGGCAGCTTCAGCATCTATTTATAGTGTAGGGGGCGGGCACTTCGGCTTCTAGAGAGCGCTTGATTGGTCAGAAGATTTGATGAGAAGATGAAGTATGAAGTGACGTCAAAAAAAACTTTGAGCCGCATGGGTAGAAAGGCAATGAATTTTGATTCTGAAGGAGACATGGGAGGTTTAGGTGAACAAGGTGGATGCGAGAATTGACACGTCGCAGACCCATCACCTAAACTTTCTGTCCCAAACTGCCATGGCTTCTATATTTGAGGTTCAGTGGCAGAGGTGAAGAAGTGAACTGACAGCTTATCAGTATAATATAAAGATGTTATACTCACCGGAAGACTGCAGGGGATGGCAGTCCGAGCACCTTCCACTGATGAGCGTACCTTCATCAGTGAGCGATAAGAGGCTTCTTGAAGACAGCATAGCTGAGTGAAGGAGAAAGATTCTGAGATTATGGAAAAAAGGAAAAACATGCATTTAAAGGCAAATATTAGCAAATTGGAGAATAATCACAAAATTACCAAACAATCATGTCATTTAATAGTTAATATTGTCAGTGTAGATTGCTGTATGCATTTGTTTTGAATGAAAGTGACTGTTCAGTATAAGTGAAGACATGCTGCGGTTTTGAGGTGAATGTCCTCATGTTCAGATCTTCATCTCTGTTATGAGTGTCACAATGACAAAGTAATGCTGACAGACAGACACAAGCATCTCTGAATAACACTGACACTGTCTGTCACACACTCAAACGCCACAAGGACAGAACAAACCAAATGTTTCTGGGCTTCATTTCAGTTTGTTTGATCAAGCGTCCATCTCGATAAGTAGTCATAACTATATGCTACATTAAACATTTTTGGGGCTATTTCTGAAGTAACATTTATTGTATGAAAACACTGTTTTGAATGTTTAACAACCAGTCAGTTTATAAAAACTATAATGACCTAATTCAGTGTCTAAATGAAGAACCAATCTGAGTGAATCACTGAGTGAGTGAGTCATTAAATTGATTCAAATGTACAATTCATGAGTCCAAACATGAACGGTTCTTGATTCTCAACCTGACTGAAAAAGATGAAGGTGTTTGACTGTTGTTCTCTTGTGCTTGGGTCAGACGTTCCAGACTGTCAGCAGAGCCGATACAGGTCAGTATCACTGTGAGGCCAAAAACGGTGTGGGACCCGCCAAGAGCTGCCATGGCACACACATGCATATCGGTAAGGAGCGTGTGTGTGTGTGTTTGTACCTACTTAACTATATTTTGGGGACAGATTTGTACCAAGAATTGAGCTGAACCTGACAAAATATCCCAAAACCTCTTTTTGAGGAACTAAAACTAAAATGATACAATTTATTACTTGACATAAAATATAAATATAAACCGAAATAACATAAAATTGACATAAAAAACTTAAACTTATTTTATTTCACCTAGTTGCCAAGGTACTAAAGTACTTAAAGAACTAAAACTTAAAAACTATACAGGCTTATTTTTAAAAACAAAACTATAAAAATGGCGAAAACACAACGAAATTGTTACAACTTTGCAATTAAAATGAAAACAGAAAATATAAAAATAAAATCAATTTTAGAAATATTAAACAAAGTATAAATAACACTGATCCACAGAAGCAGTGCTCTTTGGTTTCTCTTGTCTTGTTTACAGTATTGGAAACATTGGAGGTGTAAATATGAGGTTTTTGTTGTGAATATTATTAGAAGTGAATAAAACTAGATATGATATCTAACTTAACCCTGGATGAAAAGCAGCTAGTTCAAATCAAATGTCAGTGTAAATTGCATTAAAATCAGTGAATGTATGAATATCAGGGTTATTGTGGTAAACTAAAACCATTTTTGTTACCTGGATTAAAGCTGAAATAAAATATAAATATTTGATGAAAAACTTCAACTTATTCTAGTTAGTTGCCATGGCAGCATTTCTAATTTTCAAGTTGAAGCGCACACATTTCTAACTGGAAATAAAAGCTAAAACTGAAATAAAAATAATTTAAATCTCAGTTGTACTATTTAAAAAAAATCTTACTAAAAACAATAATAGTAAATAAATAATGCTAAATTAACACTGTGCAATCATCATAATAGTGAAGAAGATTCAATATAAAAACCCTGATGTGAGAAATATCAGAGTGCTCGTGATTGTGCAGATTGGCCTTTTCATTCTATAATACTTCCATAAAGTTTATAGTTATTATATTACAGCTATATGAATCATATTCAGTAGGAGTGTGTTGAAGCTTCAGATATGAATGTGAATAACATTCAGAGTGAATGTTTCCCGACTCGTTTCATCAGGTGATTGTTGTTCTTGAGTATATGCTGTGACGTGTCTGTCTGACAGATGATCTGAATGTGGCGGCGGTGATAGCTGGAGTGGTTCTGCTGTGCCTGATCATGTTTTTTTGTGCTTTCGGAGCGTGTTATGCCCATCGACACGGATACTTCAGCCGTGAGTAGCTCTCCATCCTGCGTGACATAAAGCTTCTTTTCTCTATATATTATGTAAAGAACTCATTCTGAAGATGCACGGATCAATTTTTCCTTCATTTGAAAATAAAGTTTGATATAGTACATTCAAAAGACATGCAAATTGATTGAAAACATTTAAAAATTGAATACATTTCAAAGTAAAAAATAATAATAATAATATAAATGATGTCCAAAAGAAATATAGGGTAACACTTTACAATAAGGATTAATTTGTTAACATATTAGGTAACATGAACAATAATTATACAGTATCTATTAAAACATAAATAGTGTTAGGTTCAACATTTACTAATACATTATTATCAAAAGTTGTATCATTAATGTATCGTGAACTAACATGAAGATTAGCATTTCTATTAACTAGCAATAACAAAGATTAATAAATGCCATAAAAATGTATTGTTCATTTTTTAATGCATTTACTAACATAAAATAACAATGTTAATAAATGAGAGCTTACTGTAAAGTGTTACCAAATATAGTTATAGAGCAGTGTTATACTATTATAATATTTATTCGTATTTTGAATAATCTATTTTTATATTCAGTTTTAATTTTAATTTTTTTATATTTTTTCATTGTTTTATTTTAAATGTTAATTGTAAATGTAAGGTTAGTGTGGTACAAAGTATCAGTTTCTCCTCTAATTAAATTTTATTTTATGAATGGATTTATACACTTTCAACTCAAAAGTAAATCATTATAATTTATACTTTAATAATGTCAAATCCAGATCAAACCTTTCCCGGGAAAAAAAACTTTTTTTTCAACCTCAGGATTTTACTGCCCCTCTGTGGTGAAAATTATGAACAGAATTTTTGCAAAAAGAAAAATATATATATATATATATATACATTTATATTTTTACATTTTTATTTAGCTTTTTTTTTTGTTTCAGTTTTAGTACTTACAAGAACATTTCATTTATTTCAGATTTATTATAGTTAACGAAAACTGTTTTTATGGTAATAAGTGTTAGTTTTATGGTAATAACACTGGAGTGAATTATTAGTTACATTTCCTGAGAAAGACTCTTATTAATGTTCATATTTAATAAGTTGTTTTTACATTTTGACTTTCTTTTCATTTCTATTTCTGACCGACCTGAACCTTTAATACCATCATACACAGGACACAGAGGAAGGTAAGACAACTAGTTTACTGCCTTAACTAACAGACTGACTGTGTGTGTGTGTGTGTGCGCTAATCATCCTGGTTGATCCAGAAGCACAGGAAGTTGAACAGATGGCCGTCTGTGTTCTGATCAGATGTTATTGAGTTGTTTTAGTTAGTGTGCGTTAGTTTGATCAGGTTAACACAGGAGAGTTTTGAGTCGCATGTGATGGATTAATGGCTCGGCCTTCACCGCTTCCCATGATTATGCATGGCGTTCTGTGTGTTTCCGTCAGCGACAGATGGTAGTGTTTGACCTTTGACCTCAGCGGTGCATTATTACAGGTCATTCTGGATCGCGCAGTGTCACGGCACGGCTCACATTAGCAGCCAGAACCTCCACAGAACCGAACACAAGTGAGTCACGGCAGAGCCAAACCAGAGAGAAACACACCAGTGACTGTAGACCGACACACACACACACACACACAGAGAGAGAGAGAGAGAGAGTGTTTGTTCTGGGGGATTTTGTTTTCTTGCATAATCATGTGATTGTTTCAGTGTCTAACACTGTTATTTTCTGTGTTTCAGTCAACATTCAGGCTACAGTCATCCTCCGAAGGAAGTGAGTGATATTTTTATACCATCTCAAATTAACAGTCACTTCACTGAGGACTAACCGGTGTTTCTACTAACCATCTGATATCCAAATTACAGTTTATACATTTATGATGATAAACAATAACAGCGACATTTAAATAAACAACAATTTTAGAAATGTAGTAATTAAACCGCAACAATTCATTTCTTTTTTTCCTTTTTGTCAAAAGAGAAATTGTAGGAAGTGTTCTGGATGCACTGGTATTAACACATAACTTTAGAATTTGACCCTCGATTCTGTCAGTATCCTACAGTTCTGTACCAGAGACCAGGGGGTTTTAACCATTTAGATTAGGGATGCACCGATACCACTTTTTCCAGTACTCGCCCGATACCAATACTTTTATTTTTGGTACTTGCCGATACCGATACCAATATTTTTATTGCATTTGTAAATTGTTTTAAATATTGGGTACAGAAATCAAAAGAGTATGTATAATGTTAGTTGGTTAACTTAATTTATCAAATATACAGTCAAACCAAAATTTATTCAAACACCTTCAACATTTCTCACATTGTAACAGTTTATTCGTTATAGTTTGGAAAATGGTAATAAAATATAACAAGAACTCAGTTAAACTGAGTCAGAACAAATTCATCTTGATAATGTTTGATAACTTTGATAGAAAGGTATGTAATGGATTACAATCAACCAAAAATGATTCAGACAGCTGTTAGTATGACAGTATTTACACAACTATCAATACTTAGACAGACAACCCTTAGCCTTAATGACAGCCTGTAGTCTCCTGGGCATGCTGTCATCCAGCTTCATGAAAACCTCAACTTCAATGTTTTTTCCCAGACTCGGTCTGAATCGTTTTTAGTCCCAAATTTGTATCAGTTTTGCTGGTAGCCCACTGTATGCAGAATTTTTGGGTATGATTTGTCACAGTTTACTTTATTTTGCTATCCTCTGTGAAAATTATATTGTTAAAGTTTGTTCACCGTCCCTTTAATATAATTTTAAATTGCATTTGTTAACGTGTCACACTAACGATTAACAAAACTTCTACCACATTTAATGGTTATTTCAACATTTAGTGATACATTTTTAAATCAAAAATGTAATATTGAAATTAAATACTTTATCCATAAAATAATGGACAAAAATAGTATTTTTATTCAATATTTTATTTTAGATTTTTTTTGTAAATGTTTGTCGTTTTTATTTTTTGTCCATTTTTAGGTTTATTTTTTTTCAATTTTAGTTTGTTATTTTAGTACTTTAAGTTGATTTCAAGTAACATGTTTTTATGATTTTAGTTAACCATAATAACCCTGAAGTAAATATTAAACATTTGTATTTTGAAGATGAACTAAGTCTTTGGGTTTGAAAACGAACACATTAGTCATTTCTGGGTGAACTAACCCGTTCATAAGTGCTGTTTATTGTTACTCGTTCACAAATTTTTGTAAAGCAATGATGGAACAAAATCTTATTGTAAAGAGTTACTAAAAATATTAAACAATGTATTTTACCTCATTGGAAAAATAAACAAATGTTCAGGAACGTGATTTGAAGAACCCCAGGCTGTAAATCAATGTATGAAATGCAGCATCACACAGACAAACTGATTTTTGAACCAGACTTTATTAAATATTAAGTTCATATTTTCAGCACACAGACATTAATGGACAGAAGGCATTCATTTTGTCATCACCTCCTCTAGTTTGGGTTCTGTGGAAACAACATGGAAGATGTGTAGGTCAGTCATTAACAAAGATTAACAAGCCAACAACAAGTTCAAGCAACCAAACTAACCTAAAGTACAAACTAGGAGCAGCTTCAGTTAAAGGTTTTATGCAGCTCATGGTGTAGTTTGACTACATGCATCAAACCTAAACTAGTCTTACAGAAGCACTGATCCAATAAATCATGTAGTTTAATAATCGGTTACTGTAGTTCAGATGAGAATCATCCTGCTTTTATTTCATGATTAAAGATTTCATTTCATTCATTGTGTGACTTAGGCTTCCCAATGGACTGTTTTATTAGTACATATCAAATATTTATTTGTTTATACATCTAGCTGCTTAGGTTTTATAAAGCATACAAACTGCAACAATACAACTACTACTAATAACTTTAGTATCAATGATTTTTTTCATATTTTGAATTATTTTTTTTTAACAAGTTTTAGTAGTTACATTTTTTTTTCTAGTTTTTAATTACATTAAGTACATTACATTACTCGTTCTCTGTAGCTGCTTTTTGAATAACTGAGGAAATGTAAGCATTATAATTAGTAACTTACGATGTTTCTATTAATTTGTTGTCCTGTTAAATACAAATTCAGTCATTAAAAACATTAGGCTGCTTTTAGCATTCCGCTGGAGTTGGTTCACTTTCTCGCAATGAAACTAAGTAAATAATTACATAAATTAGCACGATAATATCGTGTATCGGCGATCTCACAGGCTGACGATAGGACCATATGAAAATTTAGCATATCGCTAGTGCTGGGCGGTATGACCAAAAATTTATATCACAGTATTTTTCAAAATTATACCAGTTTCACGGTACATGACGGTATTTTCTTTTCCATGCATGACCGGGTGTTAACCATATTTTCTACTGATTGAGAGAGGAAATACTGCAGTATATTGACTTAGAATGCCCTATTTTACTGTCATGATGAGTGAATATTGTCAAAAAATACCACACTAAATAGTGATTAAACACGACCCCTTTTAATACGTTAACCAGGAGTCAGTCTCATTTATAATCGCGGCATCGTCTGATAAAATCAACATGCATCTACACTAAAGAGCGGCTATGAGGTTGTTTTGGCTATATTACTTTTTAGTCTCATGCAGCGCACTGCCTGCGTCTGAGTAACAAACTAAAAAAAAACAAAAGTGCATGTGATATTAAAAGACGAACTACACTCATATTTATAATTCCAAACAATCAGTAAGCAACAGGTGCTAGGAAACGCTGTTTTGTACTCATTTATTGATGAGTCGGTTGCGATGCGGTCAACAATGCACTGCTTATCTGCCGCTCACTGCACAGAACAGATGCCGAGAGAGGCGACACTTCTCCAGGAAAGTCAGACCTCGCGTTCACGGGACAGCACTGGCGAAATCTTCCAACTGAACCATAGCTAAGGTTTATCCAAAAAAGTTGCTAGGTTTGTCAGTATAAATATTCTATGGAAAACAAGGGTCTGAAAGTTGCTAAAGTCGCACTTGTGTGTGTGCGACACGGGAGCTGATGGCAGGGGGCGATGGATATTTGTGGCGGTCAGTGTGGATGAGTTCTTCTGTGTCATCACGTTCTATTAGTTCTACAGCTTCAGTTTCTGATCTTTCACGCTTCGTAACACATACAGTTGTTCCCTTTCAAACAGTGTCACGTTCCGAACGTTGTTTAAGCGACATACACTGGTATTGCGGTATTTTAAAAATTCATATCATAACAAAAATAAATACCGGTATTCGGTATGAACCGGTATACCGCCCAGCACTACATCGCCTAAACTAAAAAATTGTTTCTACAGTATGAGAGCTTCAATCGTCGTGAAGTGACCGTTCAGTCAGCAGCTCTTCAGCGTCTCAAACTCACCTGGGAATTTGAACTGAGGGAATATGGTGAGATCTCCTCCTCCGTATAAGCGCTGGAGTTTGGTCATCTCCTCCGTCAGGTTCTTCTGATAGGCCGGACCGGCTTCAACCACGCCGCCAGCGGTCCTACGACACCACAGAACCAGTGAAAACCACTGTCAATGACAGTTCACATGACGTGAGACGAACATGTTGATCAGTATACACGGTTGGTCACACACTTGCTCTTGGAGTTGTACTCGCGGATCTTGTCCAGGAAGAGCTTCTGCACAGGATCCAGGTCTCTGGCTTTGTTGAAGAGGACGGCGGACAGACCGATGTTCCTGCGCAGCGTCACGCTCACAGCCGAGCGCAACAGGGACGACAGGTGGAAGAGCCGATGAAGAGCCATAATCTACACACAAACACACACAAGACTGTGCTGAAGATCATCTGAGACTGACAGAAACACACGAAAAATCTGGAGAAGCAAAACACACTTTCGGTTTGACTGGACAAATTTGAAAAACATTAGCAACATTTTAAAATATACATTAATCTACTTGTGTTATAAGCATGTTTAAAAATGCAACAATACTACTACAAAGTCATAACAGGCTTTTTGGTTTGACTGGACAATTTATATATGTATATATACAGAGCTGGGTAGATTACTTACAAATTGTAGTCTTACTGATTCCAAATTACATGACAAAAATTGTAGTTAGTAACGTAATCCATTACATTACACATTTTAGGTAATACAATCAGACTACTTTTAGATTGCTTTTGACCCAACTCGTTCATCACATTGATTTAAACAGGATAATCTTGTACCACCTTACATAAAGGTTTCCCAAACGGGGGGTTGTGAAGGAACTGCAGGGGATTTGTGAGTTTAATGAAAAGCTAACAATGAATGAAATCATGAATATGCAACATTAACATAAATCACTTTAAAATAACAAATCAAAATAAAACACTACTAAAAAATGAAATACTTTGTTTACTTGCATATCATGTGACCATTTAACCAACATCATGCAACATGCAAACATGCAAATGTGATATTTAATTATCAAAATATTTTTTAAAATCGCAGGGGCTACTTCAAATAAATATATGAGGTGAAAGAGTTTCAAAAAACACTAACTACCAGTCTATCTTATACGGTGTCTTCTTCTAAAAATTATCTTTGACAATTCCACCTTTGAAATAAGAGGCTAATCCAGCTTTAAAAAAGACGAGAAGCGCAGCACCGCTATATATATATATATATATATA